TACTAATAAGTTTAATGTTAATTTAATTCCCTGTTCTTTGTATATAACCAGCTCTTTTTTCATAGGAAGTTTTAGTGTCTTTTACTAAATCCCTACATTTTGGATTTCATGATGTTGTGTCTTGGTGTGGGCCTAATTTTATTTATCAACAAGATACCAGGTGTTAATTTGTAATTAAGAAGTGAGGTTCTTAAGTTCTAAGAAATTTTCTTGAATTACTTCTTTGATAGTTTATGCTTCCTATTTTCTTGATTATTTCATTCATCAATAAACATCTGTGTTATGTTTGTGAATTCTTCTAAGTTCTTGGGATACAGCAGTGAACACAAAGACTAAAAATCCTGTCCTCATGGAGTGTACATTCTGATGATAGAGCTAGTTAAATAAGTAAAATAAAAAGTATGGTAGATAGTGACAAGGAAAGACAGTATGACCAGGAATGGAGTTATGATCTGGTGTGTGCACATGTGTGTGCGTGTGTACATATGTGTATACATGTGATTTACAGTTTTAAGATATGGTGGCCAGAAAAGGCTTCACTGAGAGAGTGAGGTTTAGTAAAGACTATAAGATGCAAGAAAGTTAGCCAGGCAGATCTGTGGGGAAAAAGCCTTCCAAGCAGAAGAAACATCAACTTCAAAGTATAGATGCATTTAAGGAATGCAAGGAAGTCATGGTCACTATAATGAAGGAAGCAAATGGGTGAAGATGAGGTTAAAGGCAATTGGGGCTCAAAGTGTAGATAGGGTGCGCGCCTTTAGAGGGTTTTGAGCAGAGGAGGAACACCACCTGACATATGTTTTAGTGGAATCCCTTCAGCCGGTGTGTTTGGAGTCTGAAGGGGGCAAAGGCAGAAGCTGGGGTCCGTTCAGGAGGCCGCTGCAACAAGTCACGGGGGGAGCAATGGCGGCTTGTACCAGAGCAGTGGCAGTGCGGATTGTGAGAGGGGTGGCCAAATTCTCTACAAGTGGTGAAGGAAGAGGTATCATGATTTGCTGACAGATCATATCTGAGCTGCGAGATAAAAAGGAAGGAAGATGACTCACGGTTTTGGCATGAGCCTAAAAAAAGAAGTTGCAAAGGGGAAAAGTACGGGAGGAGAAGGTTGTTTCATCCTTATTTTATGGAGCAGGTGGGAAAATTTAAGTTAGAAGTTTAGAATTGGGCATTGGTAGTATGAAATGCCGCAATGCCTGCTACACATCCGGATTGTGATGTCAACGGGGAGTTTGACATCCAGGTCTGCATGTGCAGGCGAGGTCTGTGGGCTGGAGGTATAGATGGGGAAGCCATCAGCATACAGGTGGTCCGTATGGCCACGAGACTGGACGAGATAGCCTGGGGAGTGAGTGTAGACTACATAGAGAAGACATCTGAGGCCTGAGTCTGGAGGCACTGCCCTCATTTAGAGATAGGGAGGTGAGTAAGAAACAGCAGAAGAGATGGACAGGAAGTGGCCAGAAAGGTAAGAGGAAAAGCAGGTGTTTGTAGAGCTCGGTAAGCTAAGCAAAGAGACTTTTCCAAGGAGGAGAGAGCGATCTGCTCTGTCAGATGTTGTTGACATGCAAAGTGAGATGAGGACTGAGAAATGGCTTTCGTTTTGGTGATCTTGATAAAAAGAGTTTAAATCAGATAGGAGTGGGTTAAGAGAAAGGGGACGGAAGGCACTGGAAATAGTGGGTGTAGACAGCTTTCTTAAGGAACTTTGCTAAAAAGGAGAGGAGTGAAATAAAATGGTAGCTAGAGCTCTGTTCTGTATTTTAGGAACTCAGATTATTCAGGTGTTGAATATTCTGGATTGATTCTCTTATTATTTTTTTCTTTTTTAGCCAATTTTCCAACTCTATCTTCTTGTTCTTCTTGCTGGGAGAGTCTTTGGTTTTGTCTTAAAAATCCCGTTAACCATTTTTTCTGCTGTCATTTTAATTTTGAGAGCTCTTCTTTATTCTTAGTTCACTCATTTTTCCTGTGAATTGTGAGCTCTATTTGTCTTTGTTCTTCATTTATCATAGGTTCCATTTAAGTACTTGAAAATCAGTATATATTTTTACTAGTAATAAACCTTATCCATTTTGGTCTAGTTAGCTTTTCTCTTTTTTTCCCAAATATCTATTAAAGGATATTAAAGACATACAAAATGGTGTAAGGATAACACAAAGTCCTTATGCTTAAAATACGACTTTTTTTTAGTTTCCCAATTTTTGCCTTATACATAGTCTCATTTTATTTTCCTAATGGTACTTATTAAAGGTTTTTTTTCCCCCTCTAAAGCTTTTCCCTGCTCTCTGCAATGATCTCTATTTCTTGTAAGACCAGTCTACTCTCCTGTTGTTTTCTGTTTGCTTTGGTCTGTCTTTCCTGTTAGAGGACCTCCTCAAATATTTGGAGATCCTTGCCTGCCCATGTGTGACTGAGAGTGGGGCCCTAAATAGCTCACTGGAGGCTCCGAGTACCAAGGCAGCCCTGGCTGGCTGCCAGCCTTCAATAGAACTGGTACCCAGCTCTTTCCCTGTAGATCTTCAAATGTCAGTAACTGTAGGTCTTCTCCCTTGGGCCACTCTGTTTTCCCAGAGAAGAATCTTCAGCCTGCCTGCCTAGAGGAGATAACTCCAGACACCAGAAGGAAAGGGGCTCCAAGGAGCCTCAGTACTCAGTACATAGATTTTCACTTTATTTCCCGTTTTCTGTGTGGCGCTTTGCCCTGAACTTATTTGTTTTGGGCTTGGGTCGAGAGTATTTCAGGTTCAGCTTTTTCTGGGAGTAAACCTTTTGTCTTCTGCCCAGAGTTCAAAAGAGATGGGGTTCACTGGCTGTACAGATCAGTAGAAGGGTGGGGGGTATCTGTGAGTTCCTTGTAGCTTTTTAACCAGTTCTGTTCTCAGCTCCAGTTTGTAACTGGCTCCTAGAGGTGTCCAGTGGTTCCAGCGTCTGAGCCATTCATCTTACACTGGCATGCCCCCATGGCAGACAGTAGGTTTCAGACTTCTTCCCTCTGCTCAGCCCCTCATCACCTCTGCAGCTTTTTCCCATCTCTCACTTTCTCACCAATTCCCTTTGTTCTATTGGTTCTAAATTTAATGGTTAAATATTTTCTTTATGTAACTTCAAAGAGGTTACTCAGGGGTAGGAATGCATGTTCAATGCTCCATATTTACATGTGCTGTCACCTACTAATTGCACTGTTTGTCATTTAGATATGACCTTCTCTGAAAAGCCATACCCAAACTGACAGAACCAGTCCCGCCCGGAGCTCCGGCCCCACTCACCGTAAGCCTCCTATGTTATCCACTGCTTTAGCTTTTTATCGGACTATATCTAGGAGGTCAAGGACAACGATTCACTCATCTCTTAATTTATTTAACGTTCATTATACCACTTATCACCAGCCCAGGGAAAGATCTGCAGAATTTGCCCAATTAGTCTTGCTGCAAATATCTGGTGTGGGTTACAGGAAAAACATGTACAAGGGCACAAGAGTGGATAAGTAAAATTTTATCACAGAAAAATGGCTTTCCTGTTTAATAGTTCTGTGAGGCTATTATTTACCCTCTTTGGACTGGCCTCATTTCCTCAGAATCATGACAGTAATAACGCCTACTACATTGGGTTTATGGGGGAGAATTGAGTGCTTTAATATAAGTGAAGCACTTAGTAAAGTAGCTGGCTCATTATAAGCACACAATTCACTGTTACTACTTCAATTGAAGAATAATTTTGGGGTACATTCTTAGAGAAGGTACAGGTTTTTCTTGCTTTCTGGCTGTTTTTGGTAAAATATTAAGAGTCAAGCCAGGGGAGGAAGACCCTATATTTGAAGCCCTGAGAATAACAAGAGACCCATCTTGGGGATGAGTCTGGCCTCCAAAGTGAGTTACCCTGGCTTCATTCTCCCTGTATCTCTAGGGAGATGAGCTCCCCTTCCTTTCTCTTCCCATTAGAGGACTCTGGGGGGTTTCACTTTCCTTTCTTCTGGAGATCAGTCTAAAAGAGGCAGATATTTCCTGGTTCGTGATTCAGCTTTGCTTGTTTGGAACAAAATTTAGAAGGAAAATCAGAAAGAGTAATGATGTTTTAAAAAGATATTGAGTAAGGTAAGGTGTGGGTTAAAGGGCTTTTCAAGCTACATGAAGCATGGGATTTTTTTTTTAAACACTTCAGGTTTGAGAAGGAAGGAGGGACAGAGTTTGTGGCATTGACTAACAAGAAAATATACACAATCCCTAGTGTTGAAAATTTGTAGAACTTTTTAGGCATGAGAATTGCTTCTGACACAGAAAACTGTGGAACTGTGTTGGTGGAAAATAATGGAAAGTAACTTACATGTTGAAATTTATTCATTCAATCTTTTGGTGAGGGACTAGTAACTGGGAATATAGTGATGAATAAAATCACATGGCCCCTGCTATCACTGAGCCTAGAGTAATGGAGAAAGTCTTTACATAAAACTAAAAAATATATTGTAACTTACAGGACATTTGAGATAGGTTATCCGGAATTGGCCTGGAGGTGGGAGGGTGGGGGATTGGTAGCTTAGAATGAGGGATAAGATGACTTTTCTTATGAAAGGATATTTAAGCTGAGGTATAATGGTTGAATAGGAGTTATCCATGTGAACATTGAGGGAAAGAACATTCTGGAATACTTTGGGCAGGAAATACTTGGTGAGTTTGACAGCTACAGAGTTCTTTTTGGGTGGTGTTTGTTACCAGGAGAGACGGTAGAGTCGGAGGCTGCAGAAGCCAATGAGAATCAGAAACATGTGCAGCACCGAGACGCGTATGAAGAGCATTCTGTGTTATCCTAAGGGCTACGAGGAGCCAATGAATGATGTTAGCCGAGACATAATCCTGTTTAGATTCAATGAAAGATGACATTGGCTACTGTGAGAAGTGTTCAGAGAGAGGAAAGAGTAACCTCTTGTTAACAGGTAGGGGGCTAATACAGAGGTCTTATGGGCTAGGATGCTAGTGGTGGGAATGGAGAAAGGTTGCTGCATTCGAGATTCTTTTGTGAAGAAAATCAACTGGAGTCCTTGAGGTGTGGGGAGGTGAGGGAGAGGGAGCTGTCATAGATGACTTCTAGATTTCAAGGAGCAGCTGAAAGTATTTGAGAAAGTGCTGAAAGCCCGTGAAGAAGTGCCGGCATAGTGTAGCAATTAAGGGCGGTTAATACATAGTCCCTGACTTGACAGTGGTTTGATGACATGTTAATGTTACAATGGTGTGAAAGCAATACACATTCAGTAGAAACTGTACTTCAGATTGCGAATTTGGATCTTTCCCCAGGCTAGTGATAAATGGCACAATGATCTCTCCTGATGCTGGGCAGCAGAAAGCCGTAGCTCCCAGTCAGCCACAGCATCATCGAGGTAAATAATCCACATGCTCACTGCCATTCCGTACCCATCTGACCATTCTGCTTTCACTTTCAGTACAGTGTTCAATACATTACACAAGATACCCAACAGTTTATAATAAAACAGGTTTTGTGTCACATGATTTGGCCCAACTATAGGCTAATGTAAGTGTTCTGAGCACAGTGAAGGTAGGCTCAGCTATGAGGGTTAGTAGGTTAGGTGTTGTAAATACATTTTCAATTTACAGTGGGTTTATTGGTACATAACCCCATCACGAGTTAAGGACGATCTGTAATAAATTATTTTTTTCTTGTTAACCAGTCTTTCAAGTTCTAGATCATGACTTCTCTCCATGAAAACCTCTCTGATCACCTGAGGCAGAAGTCAGTTGGCTCTCTCCTCACACCTTCTGTGGCACTTGTTACTCTCCTGGAGTTTGCACGTGCTGTCCCCTTGTCCTTCCTGTCTTGATCTGTAATGGTGCTTCTCTCTGTACCTAGAGTTTAAATTCAGGACATATGTTCTGATCCTCCTTTGAATTCCTGAAAACATGTGGTAGAGAGCATACACAGCATGTTATCAATAAAGATTTCTCTGAGTGCTTAAAAATTGGACATATTATCATTTTGAGAGAAAGTTTGAAAGGAATGTATTATTGTTTGTGATTTCTTCTCCCATATTCTGTTTTAGAGACAAAAACAGATCATGGTGCAGTCTAGTCTTTGTGAGGACAGCTTATAAAGAACTGTAATTTATGGTGCCTCTAATTTTTTGTAGTATATAAATTTAATAAATAGAGATTGATGGAATCCAATATATTTGTTTTTAAGTCTCTGAGTTCACTGTTCCTGTCATAAATTAGAGATGCTGGTTACATTTGGAAGAACATGGTGAAGGTCGGGATGAGAAGAGGGACACAGAGAGGACTTAATAAAATACATACACAAAATAGTTCTGTGTAATGTTTGAGAAGTTTGTGATCTCAGTGGTCCAAAAAATCTCAGTGATTTCTGTGATTCAAAATGATGTCCATGTGGTACAATCCACACTTGCTGCCTTCCGTGCCACAAGCTAATGATGAATGTAGGATGGGGCATATGGACCTGTGGTCTTTTGTTGGACTCATCTGACACTCTTGCACGTTGGACTGCTTTCAAAGAAGCCTCTTACAGCTCCCTTTGTCCATTATCCTTTGGAGATATTTAAATGAGGGCAGGGACAGGAGATCACTGTTGCCACTTATCAATCAGGTCCTGCTATTTTATTAATCACAGTGAGGTCCTTGTTAATGTGAGCATATACACAGAAATAAAAGACATGTTCCCTGAACACACAAAGTATGGCAGGATTTGGACTAGGCTGCTTTGAAGACACAGATATGAAAACAAACCAGAAAAATCTATTACCTCAAGGAGCATGCAGTTGCAAACATAAGTGTGTTCACAGACATGCAACTTTTCACTATGGAAATAGAAGGTTTTATTTTTCCTATGGGTGGCTTAGCTATCAGAATCTAAAGCTTTAGAATCAGAGACACCTGGATTAGCAGCTTGACTTCTCCATGTTTTAGCTATGTGATCTTAGGCAAAATGCTCAATTTCTACAAGCCTTATCTGCATCAGTCCTAAATGAAAATAGTGATATCTTCATGCTAGGGTGTTGCAAGAATTAAATGAGATAATATATTCAAAGCTTCTACCATACATATTACGCATGTTGAGTGCTTGATAAATCACACACACACACACACACACACACACACACACACACACACACACACGAAGATCTATTCCACTTGTCGAACAGTGCTTGCATCTTCATTTGCGGTCAAACCTTTTCTTTGCTAAGACAAAGTTGTTGATAATGATCTATTTCCTGGGGCTGAGTCAGACCAGTTGGGCCAAGGACCCACTGTTTCTTCACAGCCCATGAAGCACCCTTCCATGATGTGGCCTCCTGCATACTGCACCCTTCCCTCTCCCTCCTAATTGCTCCCCACCTGCCCTCACAGGACTTTCCCTTTCTCCTGCTCCAAATGATTATGCAAGAGTCAGGCTGCTCTTGAGACTATATACTTAGAGTAGCAAAATTGAGAATAAATACTCAGTTGTTTCAAAGCATGAGAGGAGGCAACTTGTCTTTGTCTTCATCCAGGAGTCAAGAAAATTGCATGAGTTTCAATATGACCTTCTTTACTGATTTGAAGTAAACCTGGTAAGTTCACTGTTTCATGCCTTCAACTTTCTTGTTTATAAAACAGACAATTGTGAAATGAAAAGGTTGGATTGGCTCTGATGACTGGAGCCATTTATGGGGAATGGCCCTGGGAAAGTGTTTGGTGGAAAGAACACTGTCAGAGAAGTCAAGAGGCCCAGACTCTTGACAACTCTAACAGAGTGGTTTTAGATTGGAGATTAAAGTCTGGGAAAGATGGGGAACATGGATTCTTCCAAAATATCCTGACCCAAATTCACCTTACACTGGCAATGATTTCCCTTTCTTGTTTGGTCTGAAAATGGGGATGAGTAAAAGGATGATGTAAAAAAGGGGATGGGAAGAATGAAGATCAGACTACCAGGGTGCTGACAGTGAGGATGGGGTAGTCAGCAAGCATCAGTTCCATCCTAGGACTTTTCACATACAGGCACCAAAGGGCATTTTCTTTCTTTTGTCTCCAAGGACAATTGTCCAGAGCTAAGGATTAATACTGTATTTAATGATTCACTAGTTCTACTGTGCAATAGTTTACCTAAGCAACATCTTCTGAAATGGATTTATGTTTTCAGTCAATATCATAATTTGGGGTGATGATTTTCATAAAATGGTAACTTTGTAATTTGCTATAAGGGATAGAGAAGTATTATGTTCTCTGAGATTAGTTTAAAATATTACTCCCAAGACTCTCCTCTTCTCAACCTATCCTCCCACACAAATTTAATATAACTTATTCAATGTAAGTATCTTAGATTTGAAAATAAGAATGAAGATTCTTCCTAGTCACTGTGTCCTTGAGGTATTACTGCCTTGACATGCTCAGAAGACAAGAGAGCATGTTACATACAATCGTGGATTTCCTTAAGCTGGCTCCTTTCCTTATAATAAGAAACCACAGTGTTATAATTACACTTACACTGCCATACCACTCATTTAAAAATATGTGCCTACTTTTCATCACTCTTGTGAATATTTAATGTTTCTTTGTTTTGTTCTGTTTTTACCTGTAGAAACTAGAGAAAGCATTTCTGACCGTTTAAATTAAATCCATCCATCCAGAGTTTAGGTTTTGTATGAAATGCTGCTCATGAGCAATCTTCATTTGCAGGGAGGAAAATAAAAGGATGATATGACAGAGAGTGATGGTTTGGGTAGGCAGGAGAAACTGTACATTCAGTGTTCAGAGGAAGCCTGCCTTTGCGGGGAGCACTATGGGAGCAGAGAACAGAAGGGTAACAATGACAACCCAAACAATAATGACTCTAAATATTGAGCACTTAATTATTTTCTAATAATTTACATACATTAATTCACTGTGTCCTGCCTGGCCTTTATGCTCCCAACTCTGCTTTAAAAAGCCCCTGCTCTTGCAGTTAAGTCTTAAGTCCTCCTATGAAGAATTGGGGAAAACTATTTCAGGAAAAGGAATGGTGGGTAGAAAGTCTCTAAGCAGGTTCAAAGCCAGGTATGTTGAGGAATGGGAAGAAGTCTGGAGTGGCTTGTGTGGAATGAGCTGGAGAGAAAGGGTTAGATACATGGGGAAGTGTGTTGGAGGCCAGAGTAAAGAGTTTTGATTTTATCCCTTAGTCTTAGGATTTATTACATCATTCACTATAATTACATTTTAGATATTTGAAGGTAAACTTGCTTCTGATTTGCACTCTGTGCAATGAACCTGAGCATACCAGAAGAGATGCTGGATAGATTTTCCAAAAATATTCATAGTATTTAGCCTCAATATTATACAGATAATTATTGAGTCTGACAGAATTTAGTTATCAAATATTTCTACTCCTTAAAACATCCAAGTCTAAATTATTTACCAGATTGAATAATATTGTCCACCATAAACTGAACCATGCCTACTGACCAGTCCAGCAGATTGCTTCTGTTAGATGTATTTTCCTCTTAAGACTTCCAAGAAAGTATAAATATTTAACATCTTTGAGCAATTTAAGCAATCACAGTTTGTTCTAATATTAAAAATGCAATAGCAATGGGGAAAAAAATTCTAACATAATACAAACCCAGATCTAGATAAATATAGCCTTCTTGTTCATAAACTTCTTTCTCAGGAAACCATGCCTATCTTCAAAAGCATTGTTTCAGTTTAGGTTTGTCCTTCAAACACATGGAGTCATTGTTCGGGGACCAGAACTGTCTCCCCTAGCATTTCATTTCACTAGGAAGTTGGCTTCTGGATTTGATCGCACTTAACAAAGAGCGTCCACCATGTCAGCAAGGACAAAGTTCTTTGTTGGTACTGAAGAAGTTAACATTCTCAAGTGCCACAGTAGGCAGAAACAGAAATGGCTTCTCTACTCATAGAATTAGAGGGTTGAGTTCTCTCAGGATGTTGGAGTGGATATTTTGGAACTCCCAAATATTATGAGAACCCTCTTTGACAGGAAAAAAAAAAAGAAAAAAAAATTAAAAACAGGGAGTAGCTTAATACGTATGGTATTAAGAACATGTGAAAAAAAGAATGACCTATGAGCTTGGTGAGAATTGTTTTTTGGTGACTTATCAAGAAAAAGGAAGAAAAAATTTCATTCAGATGTAGTTACTAAATGTTTATTATTTGAGCCCAGAGAGGAATGGGAGTGGGTAAAAGGGGATGTTCCCTTGGTAGGTTGATGTTTTTGGCAACAGTACAACCGATGTTGCAAGAAGGGAACCAGTCTCAAGATGAAAATCTCTTACAGGCTGGCTTTTGTCCAAAACTGTAATGTTGACAGGGAAGTGCGGGCACACCCAAAAACATCCTGATTAAATTGCAGGTGTTGTGCAAAACCAAGTGGGAAGAGCAGATATTTTATAAGTAGTAAGCAGTTTCTAGCAGTTGCTACATATGATGTATATAGTGTATGACATTATAAAATCTTAGGACATAAGGTAATTATTTTACATTTCTTTGGTAAAATAGAGTTTTGTTCAGAGAACAGACACTATTTGATTGGGAAAAGACTTTTCAGATCACCTCTTCTAGTGGATATGTCTTTTTTTTAAGCAGAAATAACTCCTTCCAAATAAAATCTGAAATAGTACTCTACTATCTAAAAACAGGTAGTGTTTTATTAGTAAAAATAATTTTATAAGTTTAAACCAAATATATTTACTCTTTATATATTAGATAAATGAATGGAGTTGTTTTGGTTAATGCAAAAACTTGGAATCAGGTATAATGTGACACGTGATTTCATACAATCCTTAGCATCTCATTTAGTTTAGTATTTTTGTGTTTGCACACTATCAAACAAAATCCTGATTTACACAGAAAACTATTTGCTAGTGAGAGATCTTTAGCAGTACGCCTCATAATGTCAGGTTGGTTACTCTTGTAAGAGGAGCCTTTATTCTGAGGTCCATTCAAAAATGAGTCAAACTGGAAACACAAGTTAATTCATTGTGCTAACATCTGTCATGTAACTCCATGGAATGTTTTAAATATTATATTTTAAATGTTTCCAAAAGGCTTAAGATACAAATCGTTAGTTTGTATTAAATATCTGTTGAACTCTTTCCACAGATACTCTTCTCCAGAAACCTAGGGCTCGGAAGATTACCACCAGTAGCTGTTTGTGATAATTATTTATGGTGGTGTGATAATTATTTCAGGCTTTGCAAGAACTGAAGTATGTGTAAGCCAGTGAAATAAACAAGTTTAACACTGTTAAATAAAATAATTTACAGTCTAGTCAGGAAATGTCCCATTCGGGACTGAACTGTGGGCCTCTGGCCTTCTTTTTTCTGTTTGATTTTCACAGAGAATGAATTCAACACAAAATGATAATATTTCACTTACTGTAAATTTTATTCATTTAGTGCTATATTAGGATATTCCTTATAGGTTCCCACTCTATCTTTTTAATGTGTGTTTTACCAGATAGATTTAAAGTCCACTGCCCAAAGGAACTGAGCCATATATTTTTCTATGGTCACTAGCAAGGGTGTATGCATAGTAAGATATTAATAGCATATTGATTTTGCATTTAAGAAACATTAACTTATTCTCATATAAACATCTATTATTGATAATTTACTTGGCATGAAACATTCTGTAGATGCTTCCAAATGTACCCCTTACAGTGCATAGATGGGTTTATCCATATTTTTGTTTAAAATTTCATGAAACTTTATATGCTGTTAATTAGTTAAAGGGATGTATATTGAATATCCACTGTGTCTCCAGAACTGGCATAACTCCATGGCTATAATGGTAAATCTTTCATACAGCTATTTCCTGCATACAATATAAGCAGTTATTCAGTATCATGTCAAAATGGGTGGCCATCATTGCTGAGTTTGTCCTTTCCTTGGGCTTTTAATTGGGATTGTTGGTATTTTCCCCTTCTCTCACTTGGAATGGTAGCATTCTAAAACTGAAATACTGTTAGTTCTGGTTTTATGTTGTGAGAAGATTAAAATTCCCTCATCAGAGATATTCTGGCTTTGCTTAACGTATTTCATGTCCCACTGCCATATGGGAGGGTTATTACCTATCCAAGTAAAAGACTTGTTTACCTCTTTAATTTTTATAACAAGATTTTGTTCTTATTTTTTCTGAAGTATTAGTTTGAATCATAAAGTTGATATTTTGTAAATTTAAAAAATTGAAAATTAGCAGTTTCTCACAGTTCTAGGTAGTGTATGAATCCAACTCAAAACAACAAGCAGTTTGTTTTTCAACTCTCATCAAAAGCTCCATGAATAAAGTGATAATAAAGGAGGTTTTGTTTAAAGTAGAGGTCAACAAGTTTTTCTGAAAGGGCCAGATAATAAATATTTTAGGCTTTGTGAACCACACAGTTTATAGCAACAACTCAACTTTGTTGCAGCAGGAAAGGGGCCATAGACACTAAGTAAATGAGTGACCATGGCTGTGTTCCAATAAAACTTTATTTACGAGAACAGGCAATGGGCTGGATTCACCTTGTGGTCTGTGGTTTGCTCACCTCTGGCTTAAAGGGTAGAGAAGTATACCCTTAGACTATGTTGTCTTGGGTAAACTGTTAATGAATGGCATTTGCAGAATTATCTTGTAGCATTTAACTCTGGGCTTTCATGGGAGAAGCTGAGAAACAATCTTATGAAATTCCTTATTACACTTATTTGCTTTGGGGATGTTACACAGGAATAGTATTCATACTATTCATACTGATCAGTATTCTGCCTAAAACATTTCTTTCAGAGCTAAGATCTAGGTAATGACTCATTTCTTCCCCCTACCTTGTTGATATTTTATGACAATAAAACTTTAACTGACTCTCTCCCTTTTTATGAATTTGCTACCAGGAATATCAGCTGCTGGGAATATCAACAGCAAACCTGAGCAACTATGTTGCCATTTATGTTCTGCAGAGACAAAATTCCCTTCTTTTAATTATCCATGCTTTGACTGTACATTCAAATTAGATTTTCCCTAGCTTTAAAACTTTTTAATTGTAATATGCTATTCTCTTCTGTGCTTCTGTATTGTAAACTAACTCAAGTTCTTGTGGATCATGGTTGAGAGTAAATACTCTAAGTGGATGACATATTTTTATATCTGAAAATCCAATTTCCTGCAAACTTTCAGTATCCAAAGTGCTTTAATCCCAGGCATAGATGATTAAATTCTTTTAATTCAACAAATAACATATTCTCCTGTCTTCAAGGAGTTTATAGTCTGATAGGGAAGACAGACAAATAAGCAAGTAATGAAAAAGCAACAAAGTAGTTGTGACCATGCAGCCTGTGGCTTGAGTTTTTAAGGGATGATGCTGTTACATCCTCTTCCTCATTGGCAGGGTGAGGCCAGCTATGCAGAAACAAGTTTTTTTGTGGAAAGTTATTACTTCCTATGGAAAAGCTTGAAGGCATGTAAGCAAGATGATGCTTAGGGTTCCTCTGTTTATAAGCTGAAAAGCTTTTCTATGATTTCGACCCTGAGATTACATTTTAGAAACACATATTAATTTCAACCAAGATTTATTACATAGTTGTGAAGGATGTCAATTTAAGCCTGATATCTCAATTACTCACAAAGCATTTCAAGAGTTTAACTTAATATAACAGCACCTGAGCGTTTATCTCCCAGGAAGCCAAGATGTCCCCTTTATGCTATTTAATACATATGAGCAATCTTAGGCTGGATGATTAAAACTTCATAAACTCTATTTTAATGACATTAAAGTAACTAATAACACAAGAAAAAATGGTATTCATAATTATTCTGCCTCAGTAAATTAAGCTCTTGTAATTGCATAATTCATATGTAAAATATTTTAACACAAAAAATCATAGTTTATGCTGTCTGTGTTTAAGCAGAAAAAACCCAAGATTTTTTCCACCAAGCTGTACATTTTTTAGGCTTATAATTTTAATATTTGAAATCTATTCATTCAAAAACTATTTACTGAACACCTATTACATTGTCATGTTTTGTCTGTTTGCAGGAGATACTGTAGTGAGTAAGACGTATAAAGTCCTTGACCTTATGGAGACTAAGCCTGATAGGAGAAAACAGACAAATTCTTAAAAAGATATATTTAAATAGTGATTAGAGCTATGCTAAAAATAAACAGAAATGGAATACCGAGAAACTGTTGGAGGATGGTGGTGGGTGGTAATCTCTGAAGATCTTTCTGAAGAATGATGAGAAGGAGCCAACCAGGGGAAAACCTAGCAGGGAAGAACAATTACTTTGAATTTATTTAAAATTCCCTTATGGTTGGAGAATTAAGTTATTCACAAACTTTTAGTATCAACAATATTATAAAAAGATATCCAATTATAAGTGTTCCTCACCCTAATTTTCTTACCTGTAATGGGAAAGATATCTTTTAATAAATAATCATTATACCACCTGGAATGATTACGTCAACACAGCATCAGTTTGGTTTACTTGCAGATGCTTCATTCTGAAATCCTAAACCTGTTCCTCCGGAGGATTACCAAAGGGTTCCTCTTCTTTTCTCCCAGAATAGAGCTTGGGATAAAGGGCTTTGTTTCCTTGACCTCCTGGAATGCCACCAGAATGAAGTTATGGGCTGTGAGATGTATATAGGGGTTTGAAATGTGGTTTAAGGATAAAATAGGAAAGAATGAGGCAGATGGTGGGAAGTGAGGTCCCATTCACTCATTTGAAGTTGATTGTTGACTGAAAGATGAGACAATATTGAAAGTTGACTTAAGAAGTTGCCCTGTCCTCTCACTACAGGTGTGTTTATGAACAGCTAACAGAATGAGAAGGTTCTCTTTCTGGTAGTGGACTCATGCTAATGGATCTTGCATATCTTGCACGGCCATCCAGATACTTCAGCATGTAACTGGATACAAAAATTAAAGTGCCTTTACATTTTCTTTCTTAGAATAAATTCTCAGAATTGGAATTTCCTGGTCAATGTCTATGATTATGTTTGTTGTTCTTGATATATTACCACATTGCTTCCAAATAGACTATCTGAACAAATTTCCTTAGCCCTCATGAGCATCGTCTAAGGTATATATCTTGTCAGATGGTTTGGTATTTAAAATACAGTTTAAGTCCTTGCCTGTAAGCATTTTACTAGAGGCTGGTTATTTACCTGGCCATCTGCAAAGTCTGGATAAAGCATGTGCTGAATGCCCCCAGGGCTGCTCCATCTAAACTCCACGAGATAGCATGCAGCTTCCTTCCCTGGGGCAGGTCACTTTTTGGCCAGCCCGTGGATCCTATGTCTACCATGTAGGCAGAACCCTGGCTTTCAGGTTCCTGGTGGCCACCCTCTGGACAGCTCCTCTGCACCCTCGCGCCAAATCATTAGCTGAGTCCATGATTATTTCTTTGGTAACTGCAGAAGGACATTTTGACTTGAGAGAGTACCAGTTACCCATTGCTATGAATTACCCAAAAACTCAGTGGCTTGAAGCAATAAGCATTTATTTAACTCATGAGTTCTTGGCATTAGTGATGTAATATGCTCATTAAAAATGGTTGGTCTTTAGTAACCAACCATTATATGAATGGTTCCTCCATCTCTGTTAAATTTGCTCTCAGGTGCCACTTGGTTGGCTGTTAGAGGGGGTGACTAGGGAGCTGGGCCTCTTTTGTTCTCCACCAGTCTATCCTAGTAGTAGAAGCTTGGAAAATGTTCATTGCTTGGAAAATGTATAGGAAGTAAGTGGAACTTCACAAGGTTTCATGGCTGGGATAGTTGCAATGTCGCAGTTGATAAACAATTGTCTATGTTTCAAGAGAATCCTTTAATGTAGTCATTAAAAGCTAAGACCTTAGAGCAAGAATCCCGGCAGTCAAATCACAGTGCTACTAGTTGCTAACTGTGTGTCCTTGAAGTATTAACCCTTTTGTTTTAGATTTACAACTGCAATATGGAGCTAATAATAGGCTCTACCATATTGGGTTAATGTGAAAATTAAATTAATGAATATATGTAATATGTTGAAAACAATGTTTGACAAATAAAAAATGCTGAGAGAAGTATTATATATAAAATATCATCCTTGTGGGTCACTTTTATTGGTTTCTTCAGAGATCTTGCTGGGAAATCCAACTCCATTTCTGCAGATTTAGGCAAGACCCGTTGACTGGCTGCGTTTGACTGCCCCTTAGGGCAGTCACTTCTTGCAAGTCACCACGCGGCTGCGGGGCTCCACTTGTTCAGACATCCTTCTGTGTGGAGTCCATTTCAAGATGCTCATGGCCAGTTTCTCTTCCCAGGGTGCACCCTTGTGCTCTGCCACGTGTCTGAGAAACTCGTATTTTGTCTCTACTGTCAGTAAAAATAAAGCTTTCTCTCTTTGTTCTATCACCAAGCAGGCCATTCTAGCTAGACTTGTTTTCTTTAACTTCTCCAGGATAGCCTTCTGAGACTGACTTTTTCTCTTGAATCATTGTGCTAAGCCTGGTCCCAGAACAGGTCAAAGACACCAAGTGAAAAATGATGGAGGGAGTTGAGTGAGGGAGAGAGAAGAATCTGTCCAGGCGTCTGGTCTCCTCCACAGCCTAACTTAGGCCAAGCCGTGAAGAGAAGCAAGCTGGATCTTTGGTATTATATTGGACTGGACTTTAAAACTCCATTGAAGCTTCTACTACAAACAGTTTTCACACAGAAGAACACACTTACTTAACAAAGGAAACATCACAGTCTACTAGGAAAAGGACACCTAGGCCCATGTTTACCAGGCGTAATGCCAACATATTAGAGCAACTTTATCCTCCCAAAAGTTATCCCACCCTAATCTCTTCGACTGATTCCCTAGTCATCTCTTAGTAATAATAGAGGAACTGGTTTGGGACCACAACCTTTGGAAATCCTTCAACACGTATAGTTGGAGTGGTCCTTGGAACTGTTCTGGCTGAATAGTGTGTACAGTTTAGTTGAAACTGGAAACATATGGAAAGTTGCATTTTAAAATTCTGTTTCATATACACACTGATGGTTTTTGTTTCATTGATTTGTATGTGACTTTTGTGTCAATATTGCTCAACTGAATTATTTTAATTGTTGCAGTCACATTTTTTTCTAAAATTTCTGTTCTGTGTATTTCCCCACGTGTACTTAAGTATGTGTATGTTTCACCCATTATCAAGGTATTATATGCACATGTTAAAAACTTAAATAAAAACTTACATATTAGAGAATTAAATAAACATGTTAATTATTTAATCATCTAAATCTTATGACATTTTCACTTCTGACTTGAAAGTGCCAGTGGGAGCAAAGATGGCTTGAAATTAAAAGCAGCAATCTCCTGCCACACCCCACCAAACATACACAGTCTCAACCAATTATGAACTCTTAAACTACTCTGTTTACTTTTTTTACAGCCTAGCAGAATATTAATGATTAAAATGTTATATGACTAAGCTTTTTGTTCACCTATTTTGGACATCTCTGCATAACCTGCTTTGACATTGAAATTTTTTGCTCATTTCCCTTTTCTCCATTGGAATATATCGTATTATTATTTTTAATTCCTCTACTTGTGACTTTTTAACTTCAAATAATGTATCTTAACACTTTTACTTATTCTATCAATTTGTAATTATTTACAAATTTGAAAGATAAAGGTGTTGGCATTTCTATCCCTACCTTCATTCCACTTTGCTCTTCAACTCCTAGCTTCAGTCATGGGAAATTTGTCTATGTCAAGGCAATTAACAACATTGTCAAGAAATACTGGTAATATTTCTCCATTATTTTATAACCATAATTGAACCTTTAGTTCTCTGTATATACACAAAGGTGTTGAATGTTCAAAAGCTATGGAGACCAGGCAAGCACGAGTTACAGGGATTGACACATGCCTTCAGTAAACTGGCAAGTGTGTGCTGAATGTTGCCTAGATGAATGAGACCCAGAGATGCCAAATATTCTGGTGTTTTAGGAGAAGACTGATTATCTAGATTATTATGTGAAGTCTTCTGATTCATAAATGCTGAAAGCTCAATTGCAATACACATACATGCAGAAGTTAAATAAAACCCCTTTGGGTTAGTTGGATGAAGCCTACTGGGCTAGAGTTGGTGACATCCAGTGCATAAGGCTGTGTCTAAAGTATGTAAATAAAAAGATGCTATTTACATTTTTATACATTCATAATGTATCAAATGGCACGCTACTGTTCATTCTTAAGTATTTTTTTTTTGCTTTTTCTTAGTTTCTAATTTATATTGTTTCCCTTTATTAAATCCTTAAGGTCTTTCAACTTACTAAGGAAAGTACCCACTTACTTTTCCTGGGTGTCTTTCTGCTGTATCTGGCAGTCCTTGATCTTTTGCATCTTGCTCTTTTGAACTTTTTGAAGTTTGCATCCACGGACTGATAATTCTGTGTTTTGGGGTTTTTTTTCTTTTTTTTGGCATGGTTCCTCCATTTCTTGGCTTGAAGTTCTCCTTTCTTAGTTTCCTCCCTTGTTTTCCTGGAAAACATCCTTAAGTCAGTTCCTATGAGAGGATATGTGGGAAGTAAACATTCTGAGTCTTTATATATCTGAAATGCTCTTAGTGTACATTATATTTAACTGCTAATGTGGCCAGATATAAAGCTATAGGATTAAAATGGTTTTCATTAATGTTAAAGCCATTTTTTCCATCATGACAGCTGTTTTTTAAAGTGTCTTATTGGCTGTTGGCTTTTTAATATATTTAATGTATAATGGAGCAGTGTTCTCATTATTGAAAGAAAATAATAAAAATAATAATTTACATCAATGTTAGGAGGTAAATCAAAGCAAATTTAAGGAGAACAGAATGAAGAAAGTAAACTCAGAATTGCTCATGTGAAATTTGATGTCAGTCTATCTGTGCTTTTCTCTATCTAGAAGTTTTTAGAATTTTTCCATATCTTTTGTGTTCTAAAATTGATTCTAAGTTGGAATGTTTTTCCTTCATTGTCTGAAGCACTTGGTAGAACCTTTTTATTGGAATATTCATGTTCTTTAGTCCTAGAAAATTCTTTTTATGAGTCTTTAAAAAAAATCATTTTAGTCTCTTTCTCTCTCTCCTGGTTTCATTTTACAGTTTAATGGAAACTGTAATTTGAATGTTGTCTGGAATATTATTTGAATCTAGGAAAGCACTTACTTTTTCATTCTATTTCACCTGTTTTGTAATAGCTTGTTTTTGACTTTTGACTTTATTTTCTTCATTCAGTACAGGTTATACTTGTAAATACATTTAAAAGCAAACAGTTAATAAGATTTAAAGACAGCGATCATCGCCCTCCTTTCTATCCTCAATTTTAATTTCTATTTTAAAGCCTTCTACTTGTTTCTTCTAGTATTTGCTTCCACATTTTAATAACATGATTACAGTGACATTTTTTCCCCCATTTTAGATGTTATCTATTAATTTCTTACTCTGAAGCCAAGGACTTAATTTTGTAATGCATGCCTCTCCTCTCCACTGAAACACTTTTCCACCCCCATTTTCCAGCTCTAATTTTTAAATTCCTTTTAATTAAATCAGCCCTCAGTGTTTATATTTTTATAACTATATAGACTTTATTTGCAGATGAACTTTGTAGTGAACTCTAATTTTGTTTCCTTTCCTATTAAATTTCTTTTTCTTAGCATTATCATTGTCTAGCTTCTTTTCTTTAATTTTATTATTACCCATCATAGGTCAACTCCAATCTTTCTGACAGAATTATAAATCTTCTGTCAATGCATTCAAGCATATCAAATAATCTCTAACTTCATTTAAAAGCATTGGTGTTTTCCCTCCCGAAGTGGTGCATTCGATGTCTTCTACTCCAGCTGCTCTGCTGCTTCTCTGGGATCTCCCTTCATCATCACGGAAATTCCCTTCAACTCTCTCTTGTGTTTGGAGACTGTTTCCTGGTTCCCGTCTCCTGGTTTCTCTTTCTTGGTTTACCCTCTCCAGCAGTTCCAGGAAAAGGGACCATGGGAAATACATTTTTGAGACCTTCTATGTCTGAAACATTTTTAGTCTATTCCCACTCTTGATAAATAGTTTAACTGGGTATAGACTTCAGTATTGGGTGTCATTTTCTCTTCTAATTTTCAAAGCTTTACTTCACCACCAGGACTGGCATTGGGAAAATCAAGCATGGCGTCCTTTCGATTCTTGGCTTCTCATCTGCTTTTCTTTCAGATCTTTCACTCTTGGTATTTTGAAAGTTCGAGATTTTTTACACCTTGATGTGGATACTTATTTATTCATTGTGTTGAGAATCTGGTGAGAACTTTCAAACTCCGTTCTTCAAAATGTGTCTTGAATTATTTATTGGACAAAATCTTGTCCTTTACTTTCTCTGTTGTTTTTTTTTAATCTAGAACCTCTGTTGGTTAAAGGTTGGACATTCTGTCCTGTTTTACTTGTCTTCTAACTCTTTGTCTTTTGTCTTACTTTCTGGATTGCTATCTCCACTTTACTCTCTAATCCTGCTATTGCATTTTAAATTTCTGATACCAGATTTTAAATTTCAAGAGCTCTTTCTTGTTTTATTAATGTTCTGTTTAAAATAGTGTCTTGCTTTTTTTCCATAGCTGCAATATCGTCTCTTATTTCCCTGGGGATACTGGTATGTTTGGAGAAGAGTTTTCCTGTCTCTACCCTGTTGCATTCCTCCCAGTTTCTTCTACTGTTTGTTTTGGTTGCTGTTCCTCATGTTTTCTTCAACTGTCTTGTGTCCTTTGGGTGTGTATTCATAACTTAAGCTTGATGCACTAAAAAACTGTCTGGGAGCTCTGATGGGCTTTATTCCAGCATGATTAGATTGGGATGTTTCCCTGGGTAATCACAACAATCAATATCTGTAGACCTTTTCTCATAGGCTGATCATCCTAATGTTTCCTGGCTAGGGACCGAACCTGGATGCTGGTACATTCTTGGCTGAGTGAGAAAAGGAGGAGGGAGTCCACTATTCAGTATGCCAATTGTCACTTAAATGCTTTATTTTCAGTATGCCACCTCGGATTTCAGCTGTCCACAATACAGGATCCCTTTGCATCAATTTCTCCAAAGATTAGTTTTTTGTTGGGTGGGAAAAGGAAAGTACTCTGGCTAAGCAGGTTGGGAGAGGTGAATCTGGGTAGGAATGGATCTAACTGCTTTTGGCTTCTGATTCAGAAGTTGCTTACAAGTATGTATCTGTTTCGGCCGTCTTCCATTTTGAAATGTTTCAGAGATCTTTGATGTAAGCAATCTTGTTTTGCATCTCCCTCCATTATTGGTATATGTTTAACTTTACCCTTTTTAACGTTAGTCATTTCTTAGCATTACAGATTCCAAAATTTTGATGCTGTCATTTCCTTCTCTGTCCTTATTTTCCCTATAATTTGCCTTTTTTTTTTCATATCTCCAGAGTCATTTTAGTGATGTGCGGGAAAAGAATGAAGAGGAAAAATACATTCAAACTTTTTTATCTTTAACTCAACATTTGCTTAACAGAATATTCAAATTTGGGAGAATTTTAAAATAACATAATCATACAAAATCCTAATCCTTTGTACAACTATTTTGAAAATTACTATTCAAAATTTTATGTTTTGTAATAATTGTATTCATACATACTTTTATTTGATATTTCACTATAAATTTTTCATGTTTTCCTATAGAATACTTGTAGCTATGGCTTTATAGTGTTTCATTGTGTTGATGTTATATCATTTACTTAATCAGTCTCCAATACTGGGTTCTAATTTTTTCCTGTCATTCATAATATCAAAATAAACATCTCTTTACTTTTTGCTGTTCTTAAATTTTCCCTAAAAATATATTCCTTGCAGTGCAATGACTGGATTCAGGAGGTAAACATCTTTATAGGTCCTACTACACACTTCCATCCTGATTTTTCAAAAATTTTAAACCAAAACTTAAATGACTGAGGTTATATACTAATTTTACTGTAACTACTTTTATTAACAGCTTGGTCTTTCAGAGAACTTTCCTAAAATTCAGATCTTGCCCAAGAGAAGTGCTCTTTTAAAACGATCTTTACTGAAAACATGTTTCTGAGAATCTGATTAAGACTATGAAACTTTTCTTCATTAAAGTGAATTCCCTCAGCCACGTGGTAGGACATGCACACACACACACACACACACACACACACACACACACACACACACACACACCACTACACATAATTTCAGCACTTGGTAAACACCTCTGATGCTCATTCTATGGACTCTGATAGAAGATCCCAATCTCTAGAGAAAGCTCTGAGCACCTAATGCCTTTGTTGCCAAGAAATTCAAACTGAGATAAAATGGAATCACTGAATCATTGAGGACCCTGTAGTCTGGAATTTATGTTGTTCTTTCTCTTACCACCATGATTGTGGGGCTAAATCTAGGGCCAGAGAGAGGGATAAAGGACTGCTTCTCTTAATCTTTGCCCAGTTCCTGCCCCTTAGTTTGCTCCATTGCACTGAGTTTATTGGCTAGAAATACAGTCACTATAGAGGATGAATAAACAAATTTTATCTAGTCAAAAAATGAGCAGAACAGGAAGCTTAAATAGGGGTTGGTTATGAGAAACTTGGAGAAAAATAATAGAAAGAGCATGTGGAACTAAGACTGGCCTGCTCCGAAGCACTGTACAATCTTACATGATAAAATGCACATTTGAGGAACTGAAATTAGAATTCTTAGTAACCATGGGAACAGCACTGTTATGGCTCAATTGTTAGAAAAACAGTCCTGGGATTTCTGTGAAATGGAAATGATTGTTTAGATAATGATACATCTCCAGTGTGAGGACTGATGATGAAGTTGCAGCATAATTGTAAGAGACCAAAATGTGAAGAACTTCTCAAACCCAGCTTTCCCAAACATTTCTCCCTGAAATAAATACAATTAAGCTTTACAGGGAATCCCAGCATTTGGCATTTTGTAATGTGACTTTGCAATTTTATAGCCATAATTTTCCTATATATCCATGATTTTCCATATCCTTCCTCTTTGCATATTGTATTTTTAGCAGTTTTTCAGTAGCTTGCTCCTGGAAAAATGTCATGTGAGATTTCTATTATTCTAGTCTCCAAATCCCAGAGTTAATTTTAGAAAGAGAAGTCAGAAGTTAGATACAAACTAATCTTAAAAGAGGAAATTTATCTACATATAAGGAGGTACTTAGGTCTGTGGTATCTTTGCTATGGAGAAACTTATAATAATAAAATAATTAACATTTATTTCAAACATAACATGTTGTACCAGAGCTACACGTCTTGTTTACAAATACAAATAATGCTACCAACTTGTTTTAATCACTCTGGATGTTTATAGAATGTTAACCTGAGGCTCAGCAAGGTTAAGTAATTTCTCTAATAAATTCGTAAGTGACCACATGGTGATGGCCTCACTCCTCAGTTCCCATGCCTTTTATATCTAAACGTTGTGCTTTTACCACTATTCTATGTGTGCTAAGGATAGGGACCTTTGTCTGGTTTCTGATTCTCTGCAAAATTAAGAATTCATTTTATTTCATCATAGGTGACATTTTCATTCAACAAAGTTGGCTAGCTTTTATCAAATAACTCGATAGTGTTATTCTCCAGGTGACTGGAGAGGAAAGAAGGTGAAAGTCTGAAGAAATGTGGGTAATGATTTAATAGTATGATGTTTTAGTTCTTTCTCTTCTTCTGAGGGAAGTTTCTGTAGAATGAGTGGTTTCTGTAGAATGGATAAAAGCTGTAGAATTCCTCCTAGGCTCAACAAGACATGAAACCAAGGCCTTCATGCAACTGCATTAGCTGAGTATTTTGTAATTTTTTTAAATGGGCTTATTTTCAGTGGCTGCAAGACCTCAGGAAAGTGCAACTCTATCAATATATATGGCATCAGTGACAACCACAACCAATGTAAACCCAAAACATTTAATTTCTCTAAAGGAATTTCTAGGTATGTTCACTGCAAGATACATTTTCTCCTCTATATCTGGAACATCATTTTGTGGAACTAGTCTAAATTATGATAAACCCTATATTTAAAAACTTAGTTGAGATAAGGCAGTCATATTCAATATGGATGTGTTTTCTTTGAATCAATAATTGATTATTGAACATTTTTTCCAAAATTTCTAGTAATAAGAGATGGCTAGAAAGAGTAACAATAGTAATTCTCATAATATAGCTTCAATTTAGATAAATCAGTCTTCATCCTAAAGCTAAAAAAAAAATCCCCCAAAATAAAAAACAAGCACTCCAACAAATCAAAATTAACACAAAACTCTTAAGCTTTAATAATAATGGCATTATTATTTCACTTACAGTACACGTAAGTTATAGCAAGTCTTACTCTTAACACTAAGTGTTACTCTGGTAGGTGTCTCCTATATGATTTACATGGTTGGTGCCATTCAGTAATAGGCTGCCTAATTCAATGATGGCTATACTGGTTTGCTGTGTTTTAACTGAAGCAAACCATGGCTTCAGGGAGTTTTTAAGACCCTTTCAATGAAAAGTCTTGTCTATCCCTTACTGATTACACAAGGTTCAAACCTTTCTGTTTGGAATTCTATGTAGGAATGTGTGTTGGGTTAGGTGAATGTTTGCAAGTTCTTTGAGTGAGGTTGCCGCCTCCAATATACATAATTTATGTGGGATTTTTTTCTGAATTTTTGTTTCAAGATTAATTGAGAAGCGTAAGGAATTAGCTACTCACATAGACTCTATTGTATTTGGTAGGTTTATAAATTACTGTAAGTGCAGTATATAAATTATCCTTAAATACCGAGTGTTAATATCATCAGGGTCCCAAATTTGCTGGTAGCACAAATTGAAACGGAATGCTGCTTCTTTACTTTCCATAGTGTGGTAGAATATTGTCTCCTGCCCCAAAGAAGTCCAAATGGAAACTTTGCATATGTTATTTTGCGTGGTAGGTGAGTCCAATTTAATCATGTGAATCCGTAAAAGTAGAGAATTTTTCCAGGTTGGACGTGAGAAAGAGATGTGATGACGGGTACATCAAGGTCAGGGACAAGTTACCCTGCTGGCTTTGAAGATGGGAGAAGGGAGCCAGGAGCCGAGGAATGCAAGTCATTTCTAGAAATCGGAAATGGCTAGCTTTTATCAAATAACTCGATAGTGTTATTCTCCAGGTGACTGGAGAGGAAAGAAGGTGAAAGTCTGAAGAAATGTGGGTAATGATTTAATAGTATGATGTTTTAGTTCTTTCTCTTCTTCTGAGGGAAGTTTCTGTAGAATGAGTGATTTCTGTAGAATGGATAAAAGCTGTAGAATTCCTCCTAGGCTCAACAAGACATGAAACCAAGGCCTTCATGCAACTGCATTAGCTGAGTATTTTGTAATTTTTTTAAATGGGCTTATTTTCAGTGGCTGCAAGACCTCAGGAAAGTGCAACTCTATCAATATATATGGCATCAGTGACAACCACAACCAATGTAAACCCAAAACATTTAATTTCTCTAAAGGAATTTCTAGGTATGTTCACTGCAAGATACATTTTCTCCTCTATATCTGGAACATCATTTTGTGGAACTAGTCTAAATTATGATAAACCCTATATTTAAAAACTTAGTTGAGATAAGGCAGTCATATTCAATATGGATGTGTTTTCTTTGAATCAATAATTGATTATTGAACATTTTTTCCAAAATTTCTAGTAATAAGAGATGGCTAGAAAGAGTAACAATAGTAATTCTCATAATATAGCTTCAATTTAGATAAATCAGTCTTCATCCTAAAGCTAAAAAAAAAATCCCCCAAAATAAAAAACAAGCACTCCAACAAATCAAAATTAACACAAAACTCTTAAGCTTTAATAATAATGGCATTATTATTTCACTTACAGTACACGTAAGTTATAGCAAGTCTTACTCTTAACACTAAGTGTTACTCTGGTAGGTGTCTCCTATATGATTTACATGGTTGGTGCCATTCAGTAATAGGCTGCCTAATTCAATGATGGCTATACTGGTTTGCTGTGTTTTAACTGAAGCAAACCATGGCTTCAGGGAGTTTTTAAGACCCTTTCAATGAAAAGTCTTGTCTATCCCTTACTGATTACACAAGGTTCAAACCTTTCTGTTTGGAATTCTATGTAGGAATGTGTGTTGGGTTAGGTGAATGTTTGCAAGTTCTTTGAGTGAGGTTGCCGCCTCCAATATACATAATTTATGTGGGATTTTTTTCTGAATTTTTGTTTCAAGATTAATTGAGAAGCGTAAGGAATTAGCTACTCACATAGACTCTATTGTATTTGGTAGGTTTATAAATTACTGTAAGTGCAGTATATAAATTATCCTTAAATACCGAGTGTTAATATCATCAGGGTCCCAAATTTGCTGGTAGCACAAATTGAAACGGAATGCTGCTTCTTTACTTTCCATAGTGTGGTAGAATATTGTCTCCTGCCCCAAAGAAGTCCAAATGGAAACTTTGCATATGTTATCTTGCGTGGTAGGTGAGTCCAATTTAATCATGTGAATCCGTAAAAGTAGAGAATTTTTCCAGGTTGGACGTGAGAAAGAGATGTGATGACGGGTACATCAAGGTCAGGGACAAGTTACCCTGCTGGCTTTGAAGATGGGAGAAGGGAGCCAGGAGCCGAGGAATGCAAGTCATTTCTAGAAATCGGAAAGGTATTCCCTAGACACCTTAATTTTGGCCCAGAGAGATTACTGCTGGATTTCTGACTCACAGAACTGTAAGACAACACATTTGTGTTGTTTCAAGCCACCAAGTCTGTGGTAATATGTTATGGCAACAGTAGAAAATTAATACAATAGCTGAATAAATAGTAAAATACAAATAAAAAGTGGTATAATTTTCTCATAAGCTTCCATCCCTTTGGCTAGCAGGGAAAAACCAGGGTTAATGTATTAAGTAAAAGTATTTCAACTCCTGATTTAAACCGCTCTGTGTTGAGGTCACTTAGTCTCTTTTGAGTAAATGTTTGCTCTCCCAGATTTCCTCTCCCTTTCTTTGTTCTTCCCAAGGTGGCCATGGGTCAACCAGACTGGAGGGGGCTCATATACCTTGTTGGACCTGAAGGAGAGGCAGCTTATCCATGAGAATTATCTGGTTAAGGATCTGTTTCCACTAACCTTTGCTTGTTGACTTCTGCTAAATATGTTGTGTTGTAGCTTGTCTTCCTGACCTTTGGGCATGCCCTTTGGGAATGGCGCTTTAGGGAAAATCAAAATATTATGCACAGAGAATCCTTTCCAGAGAGGAAAAAGAAGTAAAAAAATCTAGTCTCTTCCCTGCTGCCCCTGGTCGATGAGGTCCTATCCTTAACCACCCCTGGATTCTGCTAAGTGGTCTTAGTGGCAACTTCTTGGGGGCCATGTAAAATTTCTGTATCTTCTGCATGTTGTTCCCAATCCATGCAAGGCTGTAATCTTTTCAGGCTCCTTTAACCAATGTTCTTCTATCAATCTTGTGCCGTTTTAGTCCAAATGGCTCAGTGTTTCCCCTAAAGGCTTTGAGACTTCCACTATCCCAGGCAATGGCAATTGGGTGACCAGTTCTGAAGTTCTGAGGACTCCTGTGCCTATTAGGTGTTTCTAAATCATTCTTCACCACCCCCAGTGTGTACTGTGTTTGGCTAGGGTTAGCAGAACAAGGACATCTGACCTCTTCATACTGCCTCTCTTTATTCTCCTTCTAAATACTCTCCTTGGATAAAAAGTTCTGGATTTTTATTTCCTCTCCAACTCTGGAAGGAACCTTTCCTACATCTGACTTTCCTTTCCCAAGAGCACCAATCTCACTTTTTATTACTAGCTAAAAAGTAATAACAGGGAAGGGATCCTCTTCACACTGTAAAAGAAATGCTGTGATCTGAATTGGCCATTTTTTTCTTGGTACAGTAGCTGCAGGACAATGAAACATCAGAAATGATAAAGACTGAAATATTGGTTTAGTGCAGAGGTTGGCACATGAGAGCCCACAAGCTGGCTGACTATATTTGTAAATTAAGCTTTATAGGAATACAGCCATGGGCATTCATTTATACATTGTTTCTGACTGCTCTTGGGCTATAGTGGCAGAACTGAGGAGTGCAACAGACATGTATGACCTGCCACTCCCAAAATATTTACGATCTGGCCCTTTAAGAAAGTATTTGCTGACCCTAGTTTAATAGATTAGTTATCTATTTCCATGTAACAAATACCTCTAAAACCTGGCAGCTTGAAACAAAAATATTTATTACCTTACAGTTTCTGTGGGTCAGAGATCTGGTCTGCCTTAGGGAGTAAGGGTCGCACATGAGGTCACAGTCATGCTGTTGGCCAGGACTTCAGTCATCTCAAAGCTTCACTGGAGTTGGAGATTTCACTGCCGAGCTCATGCAGGCTATCAACCTCCATCCCTCACTGGCCCTTAGCCTGGAGGCCTCAGTTCCTTTTCACATGGGCTTATCCATGGGGCAGTCCCACTGGCTTCCCCTACAGCAGATGATCCAAGAGTGAGAGAGAGAGAGACTTTACAAGTGATGTATTGGTCACTTCTACAGTATTCAGTTAGTTAGGAGTGAGCACTAAGTCCAGCCTACCCTCAAGGAGAGAGATATGAGGGCATGGAGACCAGGAGGCAGTGGTCACTGGGGGCATCTTTTATATCATCATGCAATATTTGGATTTCTATCAACATAGTTCTGGAATTTTAGACTGTAAGAATCAAGGGAAGACAGGTGGTAAACTGGTGAAGCCATTTTAATGACCAGTCTAATTCTGAGATAGCCATAAAGGTTGCTAGTCTGGTTGGGGCCCATGGGCCAAACCAGGCTAAAACTCAAAGGGTTGGAAGTACTTGGGAGCCTAAAAAGAAGCAATGGCAAGGATTCAGAGAGAATGGAGACTGGTGGTTATGGCAAGGCTGGTCTGTGGTAAGGTAGGAAGTTGAGGGATCACCTCACAAAATGAGAACTTTTTATTTGATAATTCATTCAATATTTGGCAAATATTTACCGAACTCCAGGTGCTCTTGAAGGCTTTGCTGATACTGCAGCGAACTTGGAAGCAAAGATGGCCTCAGGCTGGAAACATCTTACAGCAGGTGCTTCCTTTGTATGTTGACAGAGACAACAAGTGACTTCCAAGGATTTGGCTCTTGCAGGACTTGTGGGCAGAAGATATTTATATAAGATAATAGGTAGAGTAGAGCTTATATTTCGGGATGTGAAGGCAGGTCCTAGAGACTCTTCAACGCATACACAGTCCTTTCTAGTTTAACTGAATACTTTAAAAATGCTTGTTGCCCCAAAGTTTGTGAATCCAGACACGGGCATGGAGTGCCAGGGTCTATAAAAGTTATAGACTGGTGAAAGTATCAACATCCTGCCTTGCTTTTTCTTACCTGCTTTATTTGGCCATTTTTAGCACAGTCACATCTTTTACTAGGCTCAAACTGTATATATTTATTTAACAATTAGATCTGGAACTCCACTCTAGAAACTTCTGTCATAACCCAAAACATTTTTGTTTCTGAGATGGATGAAGAGAGGAGAGATTGGGGAGGAGGGAGAGTTTTCTTGACTGATCCAAGGAAGGTCATTGACTTGGGGATAAACTATAAAGGCCCCATGTCTGTGCTAGCTGGACAGGGGAAGTAACCATAGTGGCCTGCCTCCAGGACACTATAAACGCTTTTGACTTACAAAGGAAGTTAATTTCCTCTATCTGTGTGACTGAAAGCCAGCTTTAGGATCCCTTTAGATCCAAATATTCCATTGCCTATACTTGCATCAATGGCTTATTGGTATGGAATTATTTTATAGGTCTCTGGAGAGACTGACAGGAGGGGCTCTGTGGAGCTCATAAGAATGCTTATTTCAGTCATCCACATTTCAAAAGGGAGGGACTTGAAGGAAAAGACAGCCACAAAAATGTACTGTTTTGAATCTGAATCTGTGAGAAAAATAGAAATGTAATTTTAAAATGAAATAATGGCCCAGCACAATATTAATAGGTAGATGTATCCATCTCTGTGACTGTGTGCCCTTTTTCTTGGAGACTATACTATCTGATGCCAGATAACACAGATATTTTGCACTTACTCAGCAACTAAAGGTAAGAGGTTGTGAAACTCTGAATGAGCCAGAAAAAAAGAGGCAAAGGGCTGAGTTTGAGTGAGTAAAGGAAGATAAATCAGATGAGATTGCATGTTGATGACACTCGCCCGGGTTGCTCAACAGTAATATCTGACAAACAGCAAGAGAAAAAGGAAACATTTTGGCAGAGTCAGCCACCCCCAGCATCTCTCTTCAAAACCCTACTAAGAATTCCCCACCACTGGATGAGTTATTTCCTCTTTCTGCTGTATGGGTACAATGGGTAAAAAAAAAAAAATAGACCCTAGAGCTTGAAAGTTAGAAGTTAAGAAACAGTGGCATGAGTAATACCACAATAATGAATTAGACGAAAAGGCCTCGAGGTACAGATCTTCCATCTAGAGGGCCTGGATTTACTCAGGTCCACTTTGGTACCTCGGATATTTCCACTATCTTTTTAGGCTGTTATGTTTGGTCTCTTGCTTATTACTGTGCCTGTTACCCTTGGTTTTATTCATTCATTCTTCTTCCCAGATTCCAACGGACCTGTTTCCCCACCCCCGCACTGCCGCTCCCCCCTTGGCACCACCTTATCTGCCTTGGAAACTCTTACACTTGCTTCAAAGCCCAAATTAAATCCACCTTTCTGCCAAGAAGACTCAGCTCTCCCAGTCCAGAATTAACCTCTCCTTCTTTTCTCCTCTTACTAACCTTAGCCTTTTATTAAATTGGCCTCAGTGTCCTTTATACACAAGTTATTTGTACATTTTTCTGTTGTCTCTATTGAGTTGAAGTCTCCAAGGGCAAAGGGCTTGTCGTGACCACCCTTATATTTCCTATAATATTCACTCAGTGATATGAGGGATATAAAAAGCCAATAAAATATGTCAATGTTTATTGATTTAAAGTATAACCTAACTCAATAATTTCAAGAGAGATCAGCAATATTCTAGGCAAAAGTCCCTGAACTTGCAGTTGAAACTAACTTCTATCTTGTTTTGCCTTGTTATATGAAATTCTGATGAAATAAACAGGGCTATATATATTTTTGTAAATCCTGAGGAAGGCATCTTCTTTATGTTACAATTTTTTGATTAAAGAGAACGAAAAGGATGTGATTCTACCTACCTTTGAGTTCCTTGGAGGCACAAGGCCACGTGGTCTGCCCTGTTGGTTCTGATCTTCGGGCCATCGCATCTTCTGTAATGTTTTCATTCTTTCCCCCTTTGTAGGGAAACCTGTTAAATAGAGCTCCATGTCAAAAAAAGGAACAGAATGACCATGAGTAGGTCTTACGGTTTTTCTCTCTTTCTTTTCCCTCCCAAGCCTTTCAAAGAGGTGTGGTTTATTCCTGCTGGCTACACTTCCTAGATTTGCTCTCCTTTCTTAACTCCACAATTAGGTGACTTTGATCTTCATCACACTCCAGAGACGGTTCTCTCAAAGGTCAGCTGTGATTTCCTTTTTGTCACAATATCTCAGCAGAATTGATGTTGATAACCTCGTCCCTGGGACTCCCTGCTGCCCTGTCTTTGACATTGCTCTTCCATAGATTTGCTCCTAGGGGGAGGGGAAAATTAATCTGTTAAACACATGCTCCTGCTAGGAGCTTTCTGTTTCATCGTATCTGAGCTTCAAGACAACTCTCTGAAGCAGGAGGCATCCTCGCACACTGTCACTTGGATGGATGATTTTGTTTGTGCCGTTGGCCAGTTATTTCATACAGGGTGTACCTTGGGTGCCTTTGCTCATTGCAAGTTCCTTGAGTGGAAGCTGCACCCTCCGACTCTTCTCTGTACTCACAGTGTTTGACGGCAAACACTCTCAGGGCTTAATAAATACTTGTTGACTGTCGATGAAAGTACTCAAACATTGAAGATGAAGACGAACATGAGCATTGACTAATTTTTGTTGAATACATCTGTTTTTCTAAGTGCTGGAAGAGACCTCCTTTTATAGACCATCTTAAAAAAAACAAACATCATTCATGAAAAGATCACGTTTGACGCTAAGATCAGAAAACCATCAGCAACTGTCACATGTTGGCCAGAGTGGGTTTCCTTTCAATGACAGAAGGAACTCTCAGCTGAAAAAGACTGAGGCCTCTGAATTAGATGAGGGTGGTTATATTTATTATCTGCTCTGGGCAGCTTTGCTGAGTTTCTGAGTCAGATGCACTGACTTTGTACTTTCTGACACAGTTATCTTATCCCTCATAGCCGTGTGAGAGTGGAGCCAGTCAGTCACCGGTGAAATGGGAGAGCGAGGCGGTGCTGGTGAAGTTCATCTGTGTCACCCTCTCCATTTCCTTTGACACTCCCTTCATTGTCTTTCAGTTCCTTCTTTCCCACCAGGTGCCAGAGGGCCTGTGCTTCCCCATAATCTTCCTTCATGGGGAAGTGGTGGGAACTAACATTTTTTTGAAAGCGCCTCCTACGAAGCTTGCACATTATTGGGCATTCAGAGTCACTGCTTCATTTGTGTCTCTCAGCAACTCCATGAGGTAGATTTTATAATTTTTATATCACAGACTTGAAACAGAGCTTGAAGGGATGAGATATCTGTCCAGTTGCATCCAGGCATAGCTTGTAAATACAAAAGTGGAATTTGAAGCTCAGCTGGTCTAACTCTAAAATATCTGGGCTCCTTCTACTGTACAAGGTTACCTCCTCAGAAGGAAAGGGCTGGTATAAAATGATTTCCCATTGAGGGCTTTGTAGCTTATGGTAGAAAGAGCAGTGCTTTTCCCAAATAGCTCCAACAAATTTGTCATGGTCAGAGGGCCAGGGCATTTGAGGTGGAGGAAGCTGTTTTCTCTGCCGGAAGGCTGATTTGGGTAGGGTTTCTCTTGTTCTTGCGTGTACTTCTAGCATCACACCTGACTGCTTCAACTAAGCATCCTTAGTCACTTCAGGTACATAACCCAGAATTCAACACCTAGAGACTTTTGTATTCGTGGATAGTCTTTCATCAATCTTGGGAAAATGAATTTAATGTGCTAGGTCCTTCTTTTTAATCAAAGGCAATGCCTGGGTTAAAATAAGGAGCAAAACCCTCCCATCAACACAAAGTTAATTAACCATGGATATGTGTGTGCAACATTCAGATGAATCCCTCTGCACCAGTTGATGTCATGTGCTCACCTGAAATTTGATGAATGATGCAGCCTGGCAGGATTTTAGATGCTTCTTCAGGACAAGCATTATGGCCAGAACAATAAATGGGGCCTCATTATTCAAGGAAAATCCTGAAAATGAATCCACTTAAAATAATTAAAAGAAACATGATTGTCTTCAAAGTCTGTGTCTTCAAAGAGAAACAAAATCTCATGGTGTTAATTTGTTTATTCTTATTTACATTTAAATACATTTAAACTATTTTGTATTTGGTGCTTTAAGAAAACAAGGAAAAATGAACGAAATACTGATCATTCTTTTTTGGCCTAATTTTTCTAATAAAATTGTATGACAACAATAATGAAATCTTCACTTAATATACAGATACTTTTTACAGTGTTTTCACAACTGTGTGGTTATTTTTGCCTTAAATGAACGCTTTGTCAATTACTAAAGTCTTTCTTAACTGTTTTTATCAAATAGTTTTTTTTTACCATGCCTATCACATCAGTATCCTTACCTATTCACTAATTTTTAATAGGTCTACTTCTGCCAATTCATTTTTTTGTGTGTGATCCAAGCAGTTTTCATCAGTCTTATGAAATCCTACAACTTTTGCAATGTTTGTCATTTTGCTTGGTAATCAATTACATTGCATTTGCATTGTTTAAATGTCTGTAACATCTATGCCATTAGTCAGAATTCATGTTGACGTGCTGGGTGGAGCTACAAGGTGGGGTTAAGTGAAAAGGGGTATGTGTTGACTAGTAGTAAAGATCAGCATTTTTATGAATATTTTTGTTTTATAGTGACTCTTTGCTTCCTTAAGCAACCAGTTAATTGTAGAATAGGGCATAATGAATATTTCCCAATTATAAGGACTTCCCTGGGCTCCAATAATTATTGAATGGAATGAAACTGACCTTGCCTGGATCTGCTGTCACCTATATGTATATATATATATATATATATATAGCGGATGTTGGGAGCCTAAAAACTTAGGTTGCATTCTGGTGTGCATGAATAGAGCTGAAAGCATTCCATAGCTACTGGAATATTAAATCTAAATCCTGAGATCTGCTTGAAGGCCCATAATAATCTCTGTTGTGACGTCTTTTAACATATCTAAAAAGTTGTATCGTTTTGATTCCAGGTAGAGTAAGGGGATGATAAAACTGAATGAGACTTAGGTTCCTAGCCTGTTCTGTTATTGTTGTATTACTGTTTTTGAGCTAGGGGTGGGAAGTTATTAGCTGCAATTGACTTCAGTACTATGATCTTTGTTTTTGTTTCTTCTAACCTCATTTATCATGATATTCTGTGTGAATATAACTTAATAAAAATTAGTTTTCCTTCCTGTATGTATTTTAGGCATAGTAGGTCAGTAGGAGAGGATGCTAACTCCCTTTTCTTACTATGTATGTGTGACTATATATTTGAATAGTATTATTTGCAAAGTATAAAAGCATTTCAAAGTACTAATATTTTTTTTCATTGGTAGAATAATGACAGCTTGCTTCTCCGTCTTTAATACGCTATAGATAGACTTTTTTTTTGCTCCTGCTGTAGATAGACGTGGGGTTTTTGCTAATTCTGTATTTTTCTTCCTGCTGCATAGCATGCTTCTTGGGGGCAAACCCTTGTCTTATTTCTTTTCATGTTCCCAGGATCTGACACAGAATTCCCTAAGTGTCTGTTGCATTATTCTTTAATTGAGGTAGAAATGAAGAAGCTGACTTAGAAGGAAGGAAATGGTAAATTTATGTGGTGGAAGAGAAGTAGGTTGCACTAGCTTTGCAAGCACAGGAAATAAAGCAAGGTTAATCGGTGGAAGGCAGGACGGGGGCAGGTTCTCTGTAGCGTGTATGAAAGGGGCAGAGGTCAAAGTTCAATGACTCTTCCACTGGAAAAACAAATAAACAGGCCTGAACATTCTTGCCTGAGCACATATGCACTTGGAGCCTGTGAGCAGTTAGAAGCCCTATAGGCTAGTGACAAGGCATAAAGCCATCTGTATAGTGTTTTAGGCCTTTTAATTTACACTCTTTCAAAAGGGCTCCCCTGTGGTAATGACACTTTCTGATGAGGTGTCAATGAAGTTTTTAGCCAGTGATTAATACAAGGTGATGGAATCTCCTTAAAATGGGGATTTTGATCTCCAAATTTTTCCATTTTAAGGAGATTCCATCAAATCAGAAATTTCCAGTGACCAACAGAAAGAGTTAAGGTTTTCTGGAAGCCATGTGTCTGTTGAAAGTCGCCACAGAACCCGTGAAGAAAGAGGAGCTTAATTAGACAGATGAGCCATTTCCTGAAAAGGCACACGCAGGTTTTGGATTACATGGCATTTCCTCTACAAAAGGCATGAAAACCGTGATGATTAGCAACTCACTGTTTTGGAGCTTAGCCATTCTCCAGTTTATTTTCACTTGGTGGGAGTGAAGGAAGGTGATGCTATTGCTTCTGAGTTAGGTTCTCTTAGTCATGAATGTTGGATTTCTTCTCTGCAGAATGTGTGCTAAATTGAGCCCCAGATTCTTGGAGTGTGGGATCCTGCTTTGCGACCTGCCCTTGGTTAAGGTGCAATCACTTTAGCTGGAAGAATGTTCTAAGCTATCCTCCCTTTCTTCCAGTAGTTGAGGAAACAGAAACTAATTTTGATTTCAACTAATCCAAACTTGATTAGGAAAAGAAATATAATGTTACTACACAAAAGCACGAAGTTCTTGCCAAAGTGTACTTTTAAAAGTATTCTACTAAGCCTTTCCCATTTGATTTATCCATAGTGCCTCAAACGTGCCTTTTCAGAGCATATAATGGAGAGTTTGCAATACTAGAAATGAATAAATGATTTCATCAGTTTAAAAAACAGTGACCCGGAAGATCAGAGAGTTGGGAGCCTCTGGACAGTCTGGACCTTCACTGCCATTTCTCAGTGCTTCTGCTTCTTTGAAATAAGGAAGTTTGTAGGTCTGTCTTAGTTTCCTTGTACTCACTTGCCCTTTTTTCCTTTGGTGATTTATAAAACTGAGTCATTGAAACCCTTCCTATTGCACCACCATGCAGACATTGTGTGATTATTATGAAAAGAAACCTTTTTACTCTTTATATGCTGTCAGAAATATTAAGTCTTATCATAGGGCACTGATTTGAGATACTTTGAATTTTTCTTTAGAAGTTGGCCAGTGATTAGGAAGAGCTATGCTTACTAGAGTTGTTCTTTCAGTAGTCAAATGAGGTAACTCTGGGACCAATAGTAATTTAAAAAGTAAGTCGAGTACCAGGTTTCACTTAAATATATTTGTATGAAGAGTTGTAAACATACTCCTTTTAAACCCAAAATTAATGAAGGACTTTAAAAATAGAATGGTTTGAGTGAAACATTGATGAAGATGAGATTTTGAGAGCTACACAAGAGGCAATGCAAATTGGGAGACAGGAAATCAGCAAACTCCCTGGGCTGGCCAGAGTCTAATCTACAGGACTTATAATAGTGAGGGTCCTACAGAGGAGAGAAAAAAAAGAAGAAGAAAAGAAAAAAATATATATATATGGAGAGAGAGATTTATCATGAGAAATTAGCTCACATGATTATGGAGGCTGAGAAGCCCCATGATCTGCCCTGTGTAAACTGGAGACCCAGGAAAGCTGATGATAGAATTCAGTCCTAGCGTGAAGGCCTGAGAACCAGGGGAGCTGATGTCCAAGGGTGGAAGGTGAGATAATCCCAGCTCAATCAGTGGGGCAGGAAGAAAACAGACGATTCCTCCTCCCTCCTTCTTAGCTATTCAGGCTCCGGAACTGATTGGATGATGCCCGTGCATACTGGGGAGGGCCACCTACTCTACTGAATTCATCATTCCAAACTGTAACTTTATCATAATACCCAAATCTGTATTAGTCAGGATTCTCCAGAACCAATAGGATTTATGTATTATGTATGTACTTCAGAGATTGGTTCATAGGGTTGCCCACCCACACTGGGGATGGCAATCTTTACTCAATCCACCGATTCAGATACTAGTCTCTTCAGAAGACACCTTCCCAGAGATAATGCTTTAACAGCTGTCTGGACATCCTTTAGCCCAATCAAGTTGACACATAAAATTAACTGTTTTACAGGACTCAATCTACCAATAAGCACTTAAACTTGACACCAGAATTGGAGTTTATGGAAGTTATTTTTTAATGTAACATATATGGAAATGATTTTTAACTTCTTAATGGAAAAAATTTCTTCTGGCTGTTTTAAGAAGTTTAGAACTACCAAAATTATGTTAGATATCATGTAATGAATTCACAAAGTTCACCACAGTAGAGTTCATAAAGAGGGGAAGTTACTATGAATTGTAAATGATCTTAATTAATTTATAATTTGAGGTTATAAATTATTTCAATTAATGAAAAGCAAAGAAGCAAGTGAGCCCAAATTTTAGTAAAACTAAATTTCAACAATCTCTTCTATTTCTCCACTCTACATAACATTATGCCATTGACTTGCTTACCACCATTTCCCCAACACATACATATACACAAAATTATTTTAGAATAGATGTTTCTGGGGGTCCAGGCAGGAGTACACAGGTCAAGTTTGACCATCAGATGTGTTTTGTTTGTCTCTGCAGAGTGTTTAACATTTTTTAAAGTGTATCTTCAACACTAAAGTATAAATCTAAATTTCTGGCTTTCCTTGAAAAGATGGAGCAATTTGGTATTGCTGGGTCTGTAATATCCATGTAGCCCCTGTAATATCTGTGAGGCTGGAGCTAAGGAGTGGCAGTCCCATCCTATTTCCATGAACTGTAGTTTCTGACAGTTTCTACCACAAATTCCTCCTTGACATTGGGAGTAAACGGCTATTTGTGATCAGAGTTAGACTGTTGCTTTTCTTATAGTAAAATTAGGATAAAAATGCAACATTTAAAAGATGTAAAAGCAAATGACAGGTAGATTGAAAAGAGTGTACATTCTCAAAAAAAAGGAGAGTGAACATATTACTTACATGTTACTTACAAAGACAATCCTTAAGAGTTCAAATTTCATCAAAATGTATCTGACCCACCTCACTAGTGTTATGTGGTTAGTCTACCTCAAGTTAATATACTCACATGTCTTTTTTAGGAATTTGAGGATAATGTAAAGTAATACTTTTACTGATGAAGAAGGGTCATTTTGGGGACCTGATTTGTGGCACTGAGCTTTGCCATTAAGAGGTAACAATGACGTAGGAGGCACTAGGCTATGTCCTTTCACTTTTTCTATCCTTGATGATCCCCGTGTGGGGCTCCCCGGCTCCCTGTGTGCATATTTCCACCTTAATCTGGACATCCTCTACCCACTGACATCCAGGACTCCCACTTCTGTGATCTGGGTTCTGATTTTCTAACTTTTGGTTGTGTGTATACATACCTGTGCACATGTCTGTATATGTATATATGGGGCGGGGCATGTTAGGTAGGAGCAGGTAATGTGGGTGGTGGTGATGATAGCTGGGGCAGTTGGCTCATTCCTGGCAGGATTCCAGTTCAGACCTATTGCACAAAGACATGAAACAGTGTATGGTTACTTTCTCAGATGCTATTGCTACTCTTGGCATTGAGGAGATGGAATGATCAGTCTCGCTCATGCCCACGTGACTGTTCTTACAGAATGCTTTGTTCACTGAGAATTTATTAAGTGTGTATAATTGTATATTCACATTTAAGATCTTTTTCTTGACATTTGGATCAATTTCTAGATCTAAAATCTTATTATTTTTTAATTAAGTAAAATCTTTGGAATTTGGTTAAGGAGTCTCATAGGAACAGCTCAGGCTCTTAAGGACCCAAGCCTGAGGTTTTGTTTTTTATCTCCTAGTTTTATCAGAAATAATTGATATACATCACTGTATATGTTTAAGACATACAACACAATAGCTTGATTTACATATATTGTGAAATGATTCCCACAGTAAGTTCAGCTAACATCCATCTTCACATATAGACACAATAAAAAGAAAAGAGAGAATTTTGTCCTCGTGATGAGAACTCAGGATTTACTCCCTTAACAAATTCTCTATATGTTATATACCAGCATTAGCTATAGTAATGATGTTGTACCTTACATCCCTACTCATTTATCTTCTAACTGGAAGTTTGTACCTTTTGACCATCTGCCTCCAATTCTCCTTTCCCCCAAGGTCTGTGATTTTTGACAAGGCCTGGTTGGTGCTCTCTCCGTCCTTTGGAATAGTGAGCATGAAGGTACCAGTATACATTTCATTATTGCTTAGATGTCCACAGTGTCAACAAACTGAGTTTTTACCAAGTTAATTGCTTTGCCTGGATATGCACTGTCAGAGAGCAGAGGACCTTGAACCTGATACTGGGCAGACTAAACATTTAGTTGAGAAGACAAGACAAGCAAACATAAAAATGGTTTGATAAAATATATACATTTACCACATCAAATGGGTATGTCTGTGGGGCAGTGGGTAAGGAATGACAAATTCTATAGCAAATGTAGAGAAAACTATTAGAGATAATTCTTCCCACATTATCTCAGCCTGAATTAATTAACATTTTCCCAGGGAGAAACTTGAACCTGCATTTCAGCAAATTTAATTAGGCCCACATAAATCACTGAAAAATGGGAAAAATAAACAACTTTAAAATTTTTATATTACCCAAATACCCAAATAATTTCTTTCTGCCCAAGTCTTATTTTCTTTGAATGGAAATCATGAGCAGACACAAAGAATAGAAGATCTTTATTTCTGAGAGATATGTGTGTGTGTGTTTAAAATAATACATGTATATTATAACAATCCAAGCAATATAACCTAGAACATACTCTCCCTTCCTCCAAACCCTACTGTTCATAATCAATTGCTCCTTATAATAAATTACTACTAATAGATTGGTTACCATCTTCAAAGCTTTCTTTCTAGGCATATGGCAAAGACACACATTTGTAATTCTCTTTTTTAAACACAAATTGGAATAAGATATGCATTTCATTCTATAATTTACTTTTTATTTGCAATATACTTTGTAACATGTTTCCATATCATAAACATGCATCCTTATCATTCTAAGAAATGCTCGTGTCATATTGTACTCCATTTTATAGGCTAATCGTAATTTTTAAACTATTTTCCTATCTAAGGACATTTGGAATGTTTCCAACTTTTCACTATTAGAAAAAATGCTACGTTATTTTTATATGTTTATTTTGAAAGTCTATATATTTGCATATGTGTATTCATAGGATAAATTTGCAGAAATGCTTGGACAAAGAATATCACATTTTAAGTATTTGTGGGTATTGACAACTTGAACTCCATAAATTTTACATGAATTTACATTCCCAAAGACACCATAAAATAATTTATATTTACAAACAATCTTAGCAAAAGTGGATATTACTAATCTGATAAGAATAAATTATATTTTTGTGTATATTTCCTTAATTATTAGTGAGATTTTAATATTTTTGATCATATAGTTCTGCTGCAAACTGCCTGTTTGAATCTTTTGTCTTTTTAGTGTTTTTAGGGGGAGGGGTTATTTCCCTTTTATTTCTTTAACTCCTTACATATTATGAATAATCTCCATTTGGCAAATATTTTCTCCAGTTTATCATTGTGTCACTTGTCAGTACACTTTACCACTCCCCAAACTTCTGTATTTCTTTTCTTTGATTATGACAAGCTGCAGAGATGAACTTGTTTTCAGTAGCATTTGTGTTGAATTAACAGTGAAAACCATAAAAGTAGCATCAAAAGAGTTAGATCTATTAAAAGAAGAGATAAGTTGTAAAACCTTGACTTTTATATTGATTCCACTGATTTTTAGATTAACTGAATTCTTTTGTACTGTCGGTCAAATAAGTAATACAAGGTTGGTATGAAGTATTAAAACTTTTTTTGTCTTTCCCTCCCATTTCTATTTCAGTCTTCATCAACCATTTCTCTTTTTCCTTTTTCTTGTACATCTAGAGGGCTCCACGGGCATTTGAATTTCACTCCCAGTGTGAAATAGTACTTAATGGTAAGAGTTGTTAGGTAAGCAAAATATAGCAGGAGAAATCTGAACACACAGATAACACACCTGGTATTATAAATTCAGTTCCTCTACCCCAAAAATGTGGATTATGGGACTAGTTCCCTGATTTAGAGAGGTCTGAAAAGAATAAATATATCATGAATATGTAAATATTCTTAACCTTTCTCATGTCTCACTGGGGATGGCTGGTCCTGTGCAGGAGAAGATGAGGCAGAGAAGAGGAGCTAATCTATATTAGGGCCTACTATGCCTCAGGTACTGTATACACACACAGCTACATTTCATCCTACTGGTAACTTATAAAGAAATAGGTTCAAAGTTGCTGATTTTTAAAAGTGAGAAAGTTGAGGCTTTGGGACCTCAATTTGTACTAAGTCATATAAGTGATAAAAATGAAATTTGAACCCAGGGCTGAGTGAAACACCCCTAAACAAACAAAGGCTGACAGGGCTGTTGTTTATTTTTGTTTTTTTTCTATTTTGTTCATTTTTGACAGTGCCTAACACAGGTTTTGAATGAGTCAAGTGAGTCTGAATGGAGCTAACATCCATGTTCTTTCCATTATACCATGCTGTATCTGGATAAAAGGGCTGAATTTTCCTTCCTCTAATGCTATTATAAAGAATTTTTTTCCCTCAAATAATTAGAAAGACAAGGCTTCAGTCTTTATTTTTGTAATTTAAAATCTACCAATTGGATTGTTGAAGCTTATGCTGACTGTCAGAGAGAAAGTGTATGAAGGATTATTTTGCTCTGCTTTTAGACTCATTTTGGCTGTAAGAGTTTAACCTGACTTCAGTAGAAACTTTATATGCCCTTATTTAAAAAAGATAAGTACATCATACTTTCCAAATCAAACCTTCAAAATGAAGTAAACTGTAGGCTGCAAAGGGTTCATTTATTTATTCAACAAATATTTAAGTGTTTACTAAGTACTTAGCTCTGGACTAGGACTCGGGATATTATACCAAATATAATGTCTCATATAAATATGAAATGGAGAGAGTATTTTAATATATGCTGATGTAAAATTGAGTAAAACTGTCCTCGTCAGAAATGTTTGCTAGAAATCTAAGAGCAGTCACCCATTTAGAAAACTGTCCCATGCAGACCCCTCTGATAAGAGTAAATGTGTTAACACACTGGAAGTATTTCTACTTCTTTAGAATGCTTCCTGAAGACATTAAGACAGTGGTCAGATGAAGCAACTGTTCTGACTGGATTTATTATTCAGTTTCGCTGAACAATTGGTTTTATCTTCACCTGAGTGACAAGTGGCTGGCAGTTTTTACATCACATTTCACACAAGCTATTTTCCTCCACATAACTGAATTGAGAGCTCCCTGGTAAATCTGTTATTCTCTCTCAAAATAAACAAAAGGGAGGCGAAGCCAAGATGGCGGCATGAGTAGAGCAGTGGAAATCTCCTCCCAAAAACACATAGAGCCATGAAAATATAACAAAGAAAAATCTTCCTAAAATAGAGACCACAGGACACAGGACAATATCCAGACCACATCCACACCTGCAAGAACCCAGCGCCTTGTGAAGGGGGTAAGATACAAGCCCCAGCCCGGCGGGACCCGAGCGCCCCTCCCCCCGGCTCCCGGCGGGTGGAGAGAAACCGGAGCAGTTTTTTTTTTTGGCGAGCGCTTTTTGGAAGCCTTAGAGGGACGGGCCCCCGTTGCTGGGGAGGCAGGGTGGCGGGACCGGTGAGGAGGTGCCTGGGAACGGCGCCGGAGGACAAAGAATATCCCGCGTTTCTCCCTGCGAGACCTGGGGGCGGGTGCCTGAGACCGGTGCCTGAGGACGGAGGAGGTCGCGCGTTTTTCCCCTTTTTTTTTTTTTCTCTTTTTGGCAAGCGCTTTTTGGAAGCCTTGAAGGGACGGGGACCCCAGTGCTAGGGAGGCACGGTGGCGGGACTGGTGAGCGGGTGGCTGGGACCGGCGCCTGAGGACAAAGAATATCCCCCGTTTTTCCCTGCGGGACCGGTGGGCGGGTGCCTGAGACCGGCACTTGAGGACAGAGGAAATCGCGCGTTTTTCCCCTTTTTTTTTTCTCTTTTCTGCGAGTGCTTTTTGGAAGCCTAAAAGGGACAGGGACCCCGGTGCTAGGGAGGCAGGGCGGCGGGACTGGTGAGCGGGTGCCTGGGACCGGCACCTGAGGACAAAGAATATCCCGCATTTTTCCCTGTGGGACCGGTGGGTGGGTGCCTGAGACCAGCACCTGAGGACGGAAGAAATCGCGCGTTTTTCCCCTTTTTTTTCTCTCTTTTTGCCGAGTGCTTTTTGGAAGCCTTGAAGGGACAGGGACCCCGGTGCTAGGGAGGCAGGGCGGCGGGACTGGTGAGCGGGTGCGTGGGACCAGTGCCTGAGGACCAAGAATATTGAGCGTTCCTTCCCTGCGGGACCGGTGGGTGGGTGCTTTTTGGAAGCCTTGAAAGGACAGGGACCCTGGTGCTAGGGAGACAGGGCAGCAGGACCAGT